TCGTACAAGTACCCATAATTCTCCAGAAGTGAAATGTTGATGCCGTTTGCTCGTGCAAACATTTTTCCCCCCACAACTGATTTTCACACAGATGTCAGCGGTAAGACCCTCTGTGTGTGAGTGTTGGGCCGGTTTTCTCTCTCGGAGTTCTGTTTTTAATTGTCGGAGGCGACAGCTGGAACACATTGCTGATATTTCAACACGTGTCAGTCAGAGCGGTGGAGGGGAATGGCGCTGCTGCCCGCAGTGTTTGTCTGACTTACTGCTGTTTGCTCTCTAGAACGCAGCGAAGGCGTGGAGGTTAACTCAGGAAACTCCTGAAGCCGCCATGCGCGCATTTTTAACATGATTACTTTTCTAATTAACTCTGATAAAGTTTTTTTACTAACAGAATGGGACTTTTCTGATGAGAGTCAGTTCTTCATCTTGTATTTGTAGTGAGTCCATTGTCTTATATGGAGAAACAAAACATTCACACAGATTCCCTTAGCGTGCATGCTGCCAGAGCAATTTTCTGTGACTTAACTTTGCAATTACAATAGGGCTGCTACCAACGATTGTAAATATTTTCCTTATCGATTAATCTGTCGCTTATTTTCTTGACTAATCAATTAGTCTTTAGGTACGGAAAATCAAATCAATCAGTGTCTCCCAAAGCCCAAGGTGACGTCCTCAAATGTCTTGTTCTGTCCACAACCCAAATAAATTCAGTTTACTGTCACAGAGGAGCAAAGGACGCTGGAATCAGAGAATTTGGACACTGGTTATCATAATTGTTGATGATTAATTTAATACTTGACAACTATTAATTGACTAATCATTGCAGCTCTAATTTACAACCAAAACTTATGAAATAGAGACAGTGACGAGAGAAAGTCACAACAAAAATTTGGCGAGTGCAGTTTGCAAAATGAAATAAATCCAGCAAATGTCCTGTGATCGAATGCCAACGTATCGCATTATTTCGCTATTTGCTTTTAGTAGGAGTCACCAAAGTCACGAATTTTCAAATCTTACACATAGTGGGCAGCCCCGCCCTAAAGCCTCCCCTGCTTCCTGGTCTCTGTTCCTCTAAATGGGACCATAATTTACTAAATGAACATCATGCTGTGTTGAAGAAGACTTGAAACTAGCGACTGAGACCAGAAACTCATCTGGAAAGTGTTTACTGAGGGAATAAATCAGCTGACAAATAGAAACATTTTCTCATAGACTTCTATACAATCACACTTCTTTCTGCAGCCGCTGGAGTCGCCCCCTGCTGGCTGCTGGAGAGGACGCAGGTTTAAGTTACTTCTGCACTGGCCTCACTTTGCAGACCAGAACCAACATAATGAAGACTTTTATTTATTATTGTTTAAGTAGTATTGGGTGCTGTGTGACTGAGATGACCGGGTTTACGTATCATGATGTAGATCTGTACCACAGTGATGGACAGACTGGGAGAAAATCCTGCTTCCTGTTTAATTGCCAAGGCTTCAGCTGTATTTTGTGCTCTTTTATTTCATCAGGCTAATAAATGCAGCCCAGTACGAGAGGTTACATAAGAGCGAACTGAGCCACAGAGCAGCGACAGCTTTGGTGGTCTGAAGCTGTTTGATCCACAAACACAAGGAATGTTTCCACCCAGAGCCGGACTTAACGCGATCAGATCAGATTAGATTCCTGTAATCGAATGTTAGGATCTGCGTGGGAGCGTCGGATGGAAATAAAAGTATTAAAGAACATGAGAATGAGGTTAAAGAGGATAACAGTTAATTACAGCAAGGAGAGAGCAAACTGACATCAGCGCTAATGTGTATCATGAACGCTTCACCTCATCTGATGTGCACATGGTAGACATTTCTTATCTTATACTTTATTGGTCCCTGAGGGGATATTTGTCTGTTCTCTGCATTTAATCCATCCTAATTAGGAGCAGTGGGCAGCCATTGATTGGTTCAGAGACGGGTCTGTGTTGGACTTGAACCCACGGACTGACCTAATGCTCACTCTGAGCTTATCATAGTGAAGATGGCAGTGTGCTTTAAATTAACTACGTCGACAACATTTAAAAGTAAATTGGGCGTGATTGTCGGAAAGTTACCAAACATTGTCGGATGTTTTATTTAGTTTCGCCTGAAATGACATCAAAGGTTTTCCAATATTTGGCTGCTGTTTGCAAAATTTATTTTGTATTTACTGATTTTCAAACTGAACTCGGCAGCTTTTTATAGAAGACAAGAGCAGCAAATGTTGTACTCTGAAAGGGGCGGAGCATAACCTGGACGTGGGAGGGTCTTATTTAAATTAGTTATTAAAGCCTGAAATGGGTATGGGTTGATCAGAAGTTGCTATATTTATTTGAAAACTATTTAGAGACTTAGAGCAATACATTTCATTGCAACACTAAGATGATATTTTTTTAATTATAAAGGTTCCTATATCAGGGTGTCTTAAAAGGTAATAAATCAATTCTGCGAAAATTGAGGCCATTAAAAAGTCTTAATCGCCTTTTAACAAGGTATTAAATTTTGAAGATATTTTTTTCAATGTGAAAATCCTGTTTGTTCAAAAGTTTGTTTGCTAAAAGTGCAGGTGAACGTATTTATTTATAATACATAGCCAAAAATACTAGACAGGCAGTGAGTAGCAACTGTACCGAGCGCCTATTTCACTCTTAAACGCTCCAAATAATAGATCTGTGCAAACCGGAAAATTATTTAAGAATACAACCGACCATAATCTCCCACCCCGCCGGACTCGCAATGCTAATCGTCCAAAACATAGTCGGAGTGGCGATCAGGAGTAACGGGATTAACCCGGTGGGCCGGCTGCCAGCAGCTGAATCAGTAAGACCGAAGACAACAGGGAGAATTCTAACGTTAGCTGGCTATTTAGCTAAATCGGTGCTTTTTATTGAAACAAATTCAACTTTTCATAAAGCCGATGCTCTCGTCAGTGTCAGTTTTTGTGAACAGATCAATCACAGCTTGGATGGAGCGGGATTAAAAAAAATCTTGATGTGCTGCAACAAACTTTAGAAATTTTGAACTCATTGTTCTGCATAAACGGTTCTGATTATTGACGAGTTAGTAGCCTGATCAAAATCAAGGTCAGAGACTCTCATGTAGCCTGGAGCATTTTTCTTGCACAAAGTTAATGAATAACATTTTTTAATTAATATTAAACTAGTGTTAAGTTATATTCTATTATATGAAATTATATTGAATATAGTAGCATAATGAATATATTAATATCAAACTTACAGTTTACTATTAAATTAACAATGTACTTTTAACTTAATGTTATACTAATACAGTCATTTAGACTAGAAATATATTTAAATTCCTTTAAAAACTCAAATGTCCCTCATAAAGTCCCTATCAGGGTGTTCAGAAATATCAAAATCATCAATACTTTATTGATCCATGCTAAACAAAGCATTAAAGACATAGAAATAATAAAAAGTTGGCAAGTAGAAAATATAAAAATATGAGTAGAAGTGTGGACAAACTGCACATGCAGTATTCCTACAGTATGTGACAGAATAGGTATGAATAAATAAAAATAGTGTGGATTATGTTGAGAGGATTTAAATCCATTTATTGTTAAATTAAAATTTGCAGTATTGGGACAGAATAAACCAAGACTTTGCACATTATTCAAGTAAAGAAAGTTGTACATGGTTGTTCACATGAAAAATGACAAAGGTAGTTTCAGAGTTCACCCGCTGCCTTGAGACGTAACCAAATGTCTGTGACCTCATGATCAGCTTGGTGTCAGGAGGCTGAGCGTTATACCTGAGACAGAACACCTGACTCTCAGGTCTTCAGTGGGCATGTAAAGGGCAGCGATGGCCCGGAGTCGAACCAGCTGTCACTGTGCATCACACAGCAAGAGCTTCAAACAGGAAATACCTCCGAGTCTTAACACGGCCATAAAGTCACCAGAAGAGACTTGTGCCATTCACTTTTCATAAACTTATATTCTAATAATAAACTAACACAAATGTCTGCCTGTAAAATTAAATTTGTGTCACTGAGATTTTGTTTTTTTAAAGTTTTTTTTTTAGTTTCTTTTTATATATATTTATTTTTTTATATTTTTTGTGTCTAGTATGTCTTACCAAAAGTCAGATCTTTGATCCAAAAATAGTTCTGCTAATTTTTGAATGTGCTCTTTTTACGGTCTGCTTGTTTTTAGACATTTAACATTGATTAATTTGTTACATAATAAAGGGATTTGTTGTAAAATGTTTATAGGGATCAGAAAAAGGTATTTTAGTATTTTAGTTTGTTTTTGTGTTGTCTTTATCATTATCATCTTCTTCAGAGTAATAACAGTAAACTTTATTTATGTATCACTTACATGCACAAAGTTCTTTATATTACAATCACAAAAAAACTTTAAAGAAAAATATTAACAGTTGTTTTTACAGTCAACATTAACATAAGGCCCACCAAGAGGACGGGCTGTTTTTTTTGGCACTAATCACCCCCCATAGTCTTTAAGCTGTGTTGTCTGAATTACTTGTAGTGTTTGTTTTGTCACATTCTTTTTTTTTGTGCATGTTTGCCTTTATGTCACCTTTGCTTTTGTTTTAAATTTCTTTTGTTTTCCTCCTTTTTTATAGATTTGTTTGCTTGTTGTCATTTTGTTTGTTTTTGTGGCTGACTAATCATAACTACGCGAAGTCGTCTCATTCTCTAAGCATGAATTTATTTTCTCAGCCTTGATCCTGAAATATTAAACACCAGACTCGTGATTGAAATAGACAAACCAGTGAACTATTTCTGGCACTAATTGACCTCCATAGCCCCGGCTGTGGTTTCAGGTCGACTCCCTGTGTGCTGCTCGAGTGCCACCTTCCTGCCGTTTCTTTTTACTATGTGAGTCCTCCACATTAGGTGGGCAGAGACATCATTAAGGGCCCTCCTCTTTGTTAAGACGTCCTCCCCTTCCCTTCGCCTCTGACCTTCTCAGGCAGCATGCAGCAAACGTTCCCATCAGATCGACCTGCAGCAGTCGCAGCAGCAGCAGCAGCAGCAGCAGCAGCAGCGCAGCCTCAGCTCGTCCCGCCGCTGGCTGCCCTGCCGTCACTCTAACGCTCACCTTTTAACCGCAGGACACCTGGAGGACTGCTGGAGCTGCAGCTGGACTTCTTCTTCTCCACTTAATGGAGTTTTTAAACTGAGGAACATAAATTAAAAAACTAAAAGACGAGAACTTGGATGTCTTTTGGCTCGTGGTTTATTTTTTTCTCTCTCTGTAAGGTGTCTTCACCTGGATTGTGTCTCCTGAGACGATCTTTACTTGTGGTGGAAAGTTTGAAAAAGGACATAAGTGAATTTCTTTCTGTTTATCTTTTTTTCCGTGCTGGAAAGACACTGCTGTGGGAAAGTAAGTCCCCCCCCCCCCCATCCTCCTCTCCTCTCCCATTAACTCGTCTTTTGTTTTGGTTTGTTTAATTTCAGCTTTGTTGTGGTTCTGAAACATGCAGGACCGGTTTCTGCAGCCGCCTGGTCTCGTCTGCAGATTGTGAAGTGAAGACGGGTTAATCTTAGACACAGATGCTGCAGGATGAAACGGTTCAGGTATAAAAGGACGAGTTTTCAGCTGTTTGTTTGTTTCTTTACAGAAAGAAGATGTTCTGCTCCAGGAGAGTCCTGCAGCAGTGGTGCTTCGCTCTCTTCCTCCTCTGCTCCCCGGTGCCGCACTTTGGACGGCCAATTGATGCCCTGAGCAGCAGAATGTGAGTTTGCATTTTATTTTTTTGCACACTTTTCCCTCTCTTTCCACTTAAAACCATCAGCCTGTGTTCCTCAATCAAGCTCGGGGGAGCTGAAAAAGCTCTAAGAAACTCCCAGATAGTGTTTTTTTCTCCGATATTTGCGCATTTATTTTCATTTATTTTCCAGCTCCCACCCTCCTCCTCCTACACGGTGGGCGAGCAAAGATGGAAAAAGTGTTCATTTGTGAAATGTGCCGGCAGCTGTTTAGTTAGCCGTCGCCCACCTGTGTGTTTACCTAAAGCAGAAACCGTCCCAGTGAGATAAACTCCCAGCAGCTCCGGCTGAAACCCTCGCCGCCCCAGAGGGGTTGTTCCTCCTGAGCGTTCAGATCTCTGTCCCGGCAGAACACATCTGCATGTTGGTGTCCGTCCCTGCGAAGGAGGGAAATGAATAATGCTGATGTTCGGCTCGGCTGAGGACCAAACCAAAGCTGCTGCTCCTGCTGAGGCGTTCGATGCCAAGCAGAATAAACGTTCTTTCAAGTTGTTAGGCCAGAATGTTAAACACACTCTGAGAGCCTTGGAAAGATCATATCGCTGAGACGGTTTTTGGACGTAATCAGGTTTTAATGAAACAGTGGGAAGATGCTCTGAAGGCAGGCAGGTTTTCTGGATTTCTGTAACTCTTGAAACAATCTGTAAGCAGGATTTTCTGTAAGCGTCTGGCCTCGCTGACTGACGTCTCGGGGGAGAGAGATCACATCTGAAATGCATTTTGGTGGCGGCAGTTGCAGTTTTGAGCCCGGCTGCTGAAGGAAGAGAGTCAAGTCTTTAAAGTGATTCAGCCCGCGTGTCGTCCAGGTTTACGTTAACGCTTTCCACATTCGGGACAGGAGACGTTTCTCTCAGCGTTGGGGGGGGGCTGTTATGCTTGTGTCAGGGGAAATGGAGCTGCACCCGTTGTATGATATGCACTTAATAGGATTTCAGGACGGGGTTAACGCCGCCGGAGTGGAAAAGAAAACACGGGCGCGATGAAAACCGTGAGGTAGAAATCACACGGCGGTGGAAGCTCACCGACCTCTGACCCTCCTTCACCCGCCGCTGTGGCCTTCCATCAGAAAAAGGCTTGTAGGCTTTCGGAAATTAGATTTAGTTTGAATTTGGCACAGAGGAGACGTTAGAGAGGGTGGTCCCGAACGATTTTGGCTCCCAAAGTTTTTGGGTTAAAAATCCAGTGAACACATGTTTCTAATACGAACAGAGCTGCAACGATTAATCCATTACATAATTAGTAAATCTAAAGAAAATACACTGACTGCTGTTTTGATATTTTAATAGTTTAAACTCTGATGTGAGGATTTGCTGCTTTTCATCTGAGTGAACTGAATATTTGGGGTTTTGGTTGGTTAAACACAACAAGACATTTGAAGATATTTTAAGATAGTAAATTTTATATTTTTAATGTCATTCCAAGCATATAACTGGCAGATTAATCGCTAATGAAATTTTAGTTGCAGCCTTAATTTTTGTGCCGCCTGAATTTTGGTTCAGATTCTGAACAAAACGTTGATCTAATCAGCTCTCTGAGCTGAACTTTTAAATCAGGAGCTCTGATCAAAGAATAAGTGAGAGCGATTTGGAATCAGACGTTTTTCTCCTCAAATGTTTATTTTGAATATTTTTTCAGAAGCTTGAACCTGGAAAGTCCACAGAGTCGCATTACTGCTGCGCCATGGTTTTGTTCCGTCCTCTGCCGGGCGTCAACTTCCACGTCTTGGCCTTTTGTTAATTTGTCCTTTTTGTTCTTCTCTCCCAGTTTCGTGCCGGTGTTTGGGCGTTAGGCCTGATTTTGATGACTTGTTTAGATTTGTTTATTTGGCAATTAGCGCTCGCTTTTTCTGCTTCCACTATAATTAAGTAGACTACATATTTAAATGTTTTCTGTTTTTGTCCGTCTGCACAGGGTGTTTTATTCTGAAAATTAACCGGGTTCTTTATTCTGTGTCTGACTTCCTGCCCGGTTTGATCTGCTCTGTGCAGCTTGACGCGGCTTCCGTCAAAAGTGATGGCCGGGGTTTCTCAGGAGCGTCTGGCTCCGTAGCTCAGGGGTTAGAGCACTGGTCTTGTAAACCAGGGGTCGTGAGTTCAAATCTCGCCGGGGCCTTCAGCTGTTTTAAGTAATGACTCCCAGGATGTTAAAAAAATTCAATCTCAGTTACAAACAATCTTAAATCACACTCATCAACTCCAGGTGGTGCTTATAAATGTGATCGTGTTTGACCAGTAGGTGGCGCTGCTGCAGAATCATGATGGATCTCAATGACGGAGAGTTCAGGTGTTTTTTTAACTTGGATTTCGCAAACGTCAGTCGGTGTTGAAGTGACTGGTAAGATGCGTCGGCCGTGAACTAAAAAATCTCTGCTGGAAACAAGGGAGAGGAGTTTGTTGTTGGCGAAGGAAAGCGCCGCCGCCGGCTGAAGCATCTACTTCACGGATTCAAACCTTTCTGTACCTACGAGTCATTTCAACACCAACAAATGTGTGTAAGGGTTTAAAATCACATAAATGATCTTTTAATATGATGAATACCAGAACCGTGCATCAGGCCAGGTCACTCTGTCAGGATTCGATGTCCGAGGCCTCGAGTTCGGGAACCGAAAAACATTTGAGTGCGAGCCAAAGCGGCGGCGGGAAATGACACGCTGCTGGTTTTTAGGAAACACACTCATTCTTTCATCCCTCTCCCACAGAGACAAACAATTAACATCAGGTAGGACGGGGAGCGTTGGCGCGCTGCCACCTCAGGATGTGTCAGGGCCATTTTCCTCCTCCTCACTTCTGGAAACTGTTTGATGTGAGCTTTATTAAAAAAGGTAAAACAGAGCTGGATCACTTTTCAAAGACGTGCGCTCCCCGGGAGTGTGTTTCTTTTCTCTTCAGGCCTGAGAGTTACAGGAAATATCTGTATGCATATAAACAAAAGCTGCTCTCAGGGGCTTCCTCTGCGTTTGGGAGGTGAGTTTTTGTTCAGGATATTTTTGTTATTATTATTATTCAGCTGAAAAATACACTCCCACCTTGCAGAAGGAAGAGAAATGATTCATTTTACTTCCTTTACTACTAGCTGCCTCCATAACAGAATCCAAATCAAACTGTAAATAATTTCTAAGGAGTTCTGTGGAGGTGCACGCCCTCCAGATAAAGCTGACCTCTCCAAAGGGAGGAGGAGGAGGGCATCATGGGAAACTGACAGCTGAAGGGCGGCGCTGAGCTCTAATCAGCCGTCGGTATCTCCCATTGAAGCCGGCGTGTTTGTGTGCTCAGACACCTGAAGTGTTTGGCCGGCGTTGGTGCTCGGCGGTTCCCAGGCTTCGGGCCGTGCCCCTCTGCCTCTCTGTTTGGATAAGAGTTAAGACTCTGAGTAACGTGACGCCGCGGCAAAGCAAAGCCCGAATCCTTCTAACAGGAGAGCCGGAGCTCCTCTTCTTCTGTCGAGTCATCTCTTCTTCTTTTGTCATGCCTTAAAGTCCAGTGTTGTTTCACTCTGTAGTTTGTATTTGTATTTCAGCTGCCAACGAGCAGGTCGGTGTCTGTTTTTCAGTTAGACAAAAGCATCTGCCAAATTAATTTAACACAAAGGGCAATCAACACGTCTCAGAAACACCACAAATTTCTATGAGGTTTGGTGTGAAGTTCAGCCAAGGGCTGAGTGTCTGCTTTTCTGCGCCGATAGCTCCACCGTGTGGACAGACAGCGTCACCATGTGGACGTTTCAGGGCCCGCTGAGCACAGGGCTCTATAGCTCAGGGGTTAGAGCACTGGTCTTGTAAACCAGGGGTCGCGAGTTCAAATCTCGCTGGGGCCTGTGTCAGCTTTTCCTTCAGGATGATCAAAGCTCGGTGTTGTTTCAGCGTGTGATACTGTAAGTACATGCAGAACTGCTGGCTGTAGGTCGCATGAAAGAAACATGATGAATAAGAATGAGGAAGTGAGCTGTTGCCAAAGGAACAAGTTTATTTGTTTTAGGTGCAGATTTTTCTGAGGATTATATATTTATTTTTGGCACATTAATATTTGATAGTTGAATGAGTTTGTCTTTGTAAACTAAAAGAAGTTGTGGCTCTTGTAGCTTCTTTCTCTTCTAAACCAGGAGTCACAAGTTCAAATCTCGCTGAGGCCAAAGAGTTTTCTTTCAGAATGTATACAATTCAGTATAAATTAAACTCTTGTACAATTACAAACAACCTCAGACACACGTACACACATCAAACTGTAAGTGATCCAAATAAATGATCCAAACTCTCTTGAGATTTTGCAGGATTCAGCGCAGTAGAGGTGAGATTGCCTGACAGGATTTGAGTATTTGCTCTCTTGAGTTCGGCCCCAAGTCTTTCTTTTTTTCCCCTTTCTTTCGGAGAGTTTGTGGCTCCAGTTGTTTTTTATCCCTCGGCGTCTGAGTGCCATGAATCTGTCAGTTAACTTCCATATTAATGAAAAGTGAAGGGCCAGAGGATTTGCTTAGCTCACAAGTGCCATGATCGTATTAATGAACAATCAGAAGGAAAGCTGGTATTTTTCTGTGAAAAGAGAAAACTCATCTGGACCTCCTCATGCAGGGTGGAGATCTTTGGTATCAGTTTTAACAACCCTGGAAACAGATCCAGCTCCTGCGGTTCGATGAATCATGTCTTTCACTGCATGGATGCAACAGGGAATTGTTGGAAAACTGCTGCTTTCATTCTTCTGCTTTCGCTGCCCTCTGCAGGTCAAACAAGAGATCTTCCAAATGCAAATTTCCACTTTTATGTACACTGACGGTCAAAGTCTGCAGGACGTGCCATATTTACGCACTTTTATCTCATTTATAATAATGCACTACTGTCTCTTTCAGCAGGAGAAGTGCTGCCATTTAAATGCATTTTTATTTAATTCCCTCCCGTCTCTAGGAGGTACAGATACTCGAAATATGTGAACATGAAAGACATTTATAATTGAAAGAAATATTCTGTGTGATTTTTTGCAGAAAACGGTCCGTGACTCACGCTCAGCTGATGCACGACAAAGGCCGGGCGCTGCAGGACTTTAAGCGCCGCATGTGGCTGCAGGAGCTTTTGGATGAAGTCCACACGGCGGAGATACGCGAACTCCCGGTCCGGACCACCGGCGGAGGCGGGAGCAGCAGCGGCGCAGGCGTCGGGCTCCCGGGTGTCAGCCTGGGCATCAACCTGAGCACCACCGGCAGCACCCTGCACTCCAAACCCCCCGGAGGGACCAAGAACCTCCCCATCAGCTTCAGGCTGGAGGAGGAGGAGGGCACCAACCTGCCGCAGGAGACCAACAAGTCTCAGACGTACAAAGACGGCGTGCTGAAAGCACCCGGCAAGAAGAAGAAGAAAGGGAGGTCCGGGAAGAGGCGGGAGGGAGAGAAGAGGAAGAGGAGGGCGCGTTCTTTGGGGTGGAGGCTGGAGGACGAACCCGGGAGTGGACTCCACCTGGAGTGGAGGTCTCTGCTCGGCCTGCAGAGGGCGCTGCTTTAAAACGCTGTCAGTCTCTGACAAAGGTGGGTCCTCGGCTCAGAGTCTGAGTTTTAAGAGAACAGGAATATCAGGGCTGTAGCCAGGAGTCTCTAACATGACCCCAGGTAAACAGGTCTAAATTAATTCCTTTGAATCTAACCGTTCCTGCAGAATCACTCACAGCAGAATCTGATTCCAGTTTGAGTCAGTATTTCTGGCCGTCGCTGACTTTCACTGACCTTTGATCAACCAAGAAGGTCTCTTGAGATCTAAATCTGTGTTTCATGAGAGGCGTGGCCGAAAGAAAAGACAAAAGCCTAAAAAGAAACTAACCAGCTCGGCAATAAAGTCCTTTTTCTCAGATAAACTTCCAGTAATGTGTAAGTTTCATCTTCGTGGTGTTTTCATGAGGGTAAAGTTTAATTTTTCAAACAGAATGTGTTTGTTTTAAAAGACGAGGTACAGGGATAAAACACACTGTCCATAACTTAAGACCTGCATGTTTTAGGTCTTTACATTTATCTAGAAATAAAAACAGAAACTTGCAGTTAAAATACAAACCCAATGCCAACACCCACCTACACCTGATGCTCCTTACCTGTGACCTGCAGAGGAGACAGAATAAATAAACTATCCTTCAGTTTCTGATCAATTTCTAATGAAACGGGTTGAAATCTAAGCTCAGCACTTCTTTAGTATTAAAGCCAGGTAATAAAATCTAAATTATAAAACTATTTAAAGTCATCGTAACATATTGTGTTTGAGTGAACTAGAGATTACTGAGCAAATATCCACTAAACTGGTTAGCTTAATGGATTCTTGTGAGTAGAATTATTGTATTACTCCAGCTTGAATAACGTTTATTGTATTAAATAACGTACATTTCTTAAACACTATTAATGTCCGTGTGTTTAATGTGAATGCTGATGCTTCTGTACTGAGCTAACCTGTGTCTCCGTCTTTGTCTTTCAGAAACCGCTGGACTGGACTCCTAAATACTCTCGTTACAGTCTTCTGTAATAGTGATTGTTTGGAAAGAAATTGGAAAATATTTATTGTCTGTAAATATTCTAAATATAGCAGAACAAATAGCAGAATATGATAAAAAAAAAAAACGTATTTGATGCTCTGTGAGGCAACAGATTTTAATCTTTGTGAATCCTTGCTTTTTTCTTTTTTATTCCAATTATGTCAGATTTTTTTTGGCGGTAATTTATTTTGTCTGAATGGTGTATTTATTTTGTAAATGTATCGAGGTGCTGCTGACCTTCTATATTTTTGTACCATATTGCACTTTAGATATATAAATATAAATATATATACCATTAATTTTGTTCATTGTTTTTGTGGTTGATTGAAATGAAGTAAAAACGACGGTCGTCACTCTGTGTTACCTTTCAGTTTGATTCTTGACCTTTTGCTCTGCTCAGATGTCCAGTTTTTTTTTGTTTGTTTGTTTCTTTGCTGCTGTTTCTTCAGATGTTTTGCGGCTCTGACTGAAGGTTTTTGTTGTCTCACTTCTGTGTTCGACCCTTCAGTGTTCTCCGGTTCGCCCGCTTTGCTTCTCAATGCCAAAGTTCACATTTGTACATAAACCAAACACGGCTCGATATTGTTGTTTTTTGGCACTTGCACTGAGATAAACACCCTGTACTGAACGGATTAAACATTTGACAGTATCCTCCTCGCAGTCTGCCCTGTCTTTGATGTCTGTCCTATTATTGGTAATAAGAATGCATGAATTCACAGTCGGGGGCTCTAAAGTCCTCATCTGCAGCTTCATCTGGTGGCGTCCCCCAAGGTTCTGTCTTGGGTCCTCTGTAAGTTGCCTCAACATCTTGCAAAAATGTCCATTTCCAATAAGTTCTTACACTCTAATGAAGATTGGATGGCAGATTATTTCCCATTAATCTCAAGCCAAGTTGTGGAATCGCTCGAGTCTTTTACTAAAAGCTGTATTCACTGATCTTTTGCCACCAAAGGGCAGAAAAACATACCTAAAAATTACCTTACAGGCTTCAAGCTAGAGCTGCAACAATTATCTGAGTAATTGTAAATAAATCGACCCACTCATCCGATGGGTGTTGGTTTACAGTTTCTATCTGAGACAGACTCTCGGCTCCTCTGTGGCTCTGAACATTAAACTTTCTGGAAGTCTGAGTCATGTTGGTTCAGAAACATGAAAGTTTCCACTGAAAGCTGGACTGAAGCATGTTTCCAACACAGACTGTAACACATCACTCAGCAGTTACTAAAGTCAGTGTATCATTCTTGCATCAGTCATCTGTGTATTTAATACATTTAATAAGCACATCCTACTCTAATATCCTTTTAAATTAGCCCAGTGTCAGTGTTATTTTTATGTTACTGATGGGTTAACACTAAAACTAAAATATGGTTATTTCGACACACTGTGCCAAAGTTTTATCTTAATAATGAATGAATATGACATTCAAAACTGCAAATAATTCACATATTATTAACAGTCAGTAACAAACACTGACATGTATATTGGACAAGAGTGGATTATAACAGTTTGCAAACATAACAACCTGTTGTTTTGCACAAGAGTAAATCTATTTAAGTGTTCATTTTGTGTTGTTTTTGTGAAGCTGCAGAATGAATAGAGTCTAAAACTAATTTTTCTTGAATAATATATATAAACATAATTATTTGTCGGTTTTATACCAAATCTGTAACTGCAGATTGTGTAAGTTTCATCTTTGTCTTTCATCTTATGTAAAGTTGAGTTGTTTTTTTAAATATCTTTTATCATTCTCATTTTATGTGGTGTTTTATCTGTAAATATGTGGGGAAAAAAGGATCTGTAACACATACGAGTGGTATAATTTGAATAAATCCATGACCAATCTGTAAATGTCTGGCCATTTGGTATATTATCACAATAAAACCAAAAAAAATCTATCTGACTCTTATTAATGTGCTGGACACTGGATTTGTGGGATATGCAAATAAGTGCATATTTAATGAGGATATACCTCATTTGCATATTAAAAATTAAAAACATCATAAATGCATTTTAAAAAAGCTTCTATTTATGTTTACATTTAGCTTGTAAAGTTTAATTGTGATATGAGTAAAGTTGGCTGTGGTAAACTTAGAAATATCAATATTCTCAGGTTCTGCAGTTAGAAGGAGCTTTTTGTCCAAAGGTTGTGGCAGAGAGGCAGCAGGGCAACTCTCAATGCCCCTGTGGTGTAACATGACTCGACCTATTTGGCAAATTCTGGTAAAACAAAGTGCATTTTTAAAAAAGGCTGCTCAGCACAGAGCAAAACTGCCTCCAGCCCACCGCAGTTTCTTCCTCTGCTGTACTTCTGCAGGTTGTCATCACTCCTGCAGTCAACTAACGTCTAATCACCATCAGCTGCCCACCAGGAAATTGTCCCCATCAGCTAAGAACTCATTTCAAAGCCTCTGTAGCAGCTTTTTATTTGACTTCTGCACGTACAGCAGGAAAGAAACTCACAACTTTCCACTCAATAGAGCAAAAGTGTCAACAAATTGCCGTCCGTCATCATAAATTCCATCCAGAATTCAATTAGGGAAGATCAACAGCTCCAGCCTGAAGAATGAGGCCAGAGGGACTTGGCTTCTCTACGAGCCATTAAAATAATTCCCACCACTGCAGCTTCACAACACGACAAGTTTGGTTTGGCAGCAGGTCGGCGAGCTGAGAGACATCGAGCAGAAAGAGCCGAGCGGCGGTGTCAGTGTTGGGATTCAAGCAGCAGCACAGCGACAGGTCTTCAATATCCAACCAACCAAAACAAAACTGGGAACTGAGAGTCAGAAAAAATCCAGAATATTTATATATATATATATATATATATATATATGCTTGAGAAGGGACTCACAGGTTGAATTAATTTAGTTTCTATATTTCCACCCTGAAGCTGAAAGGTCCCTTAAAAACCTTGAGAAGTAAAAACTGAGCTAGTCTATTTGCAGCAGTAAAACAGTAGGAATTTAATGCATGCTAACGTACGTATTTATGATAACATTATTTTTTGAAATGCTACATGTTATTATTTTGTCAGGAAATTGTTAATGCGAACAATCATTTTTATATATTTTTTTATGCTATAGTAAAGTTACATTTTCTGCTAACGTTACTTTTTAAAGCTAACCTTTTTTAATACTACAGTAATGTTTCTTTTTTTTTGTTACTTTTTTAAACGCTAGACTTACTTTTTCTGTCAGTATAAATTTTTAATGCTAACATTACTTTTTTAATGCTATAGTAAAGTTACATTTCATGCCAGCCTTATTCTTTTATGCTAACGTGCCTTTTGTATGCTAATGTTAATTTATAAATGATAGACTTACTTATTCTGTCGATGTGAAATTTTTATTCTAATATTACTCTTTTTATGCTATAGTAAAGTTACTTTTCATGCTAACCTTGTTCTTTTATGCTAACGTAACTTTTTAATGCTAATGTTACTTTTTTAAATGATACTTACTTTTCCTGTCAATGTTAATTTTTAATGCTAATATTACTCTTTTTATGCTATAGTAAAGTTACTTTTCATGCTAACCTTATTCTTTTATTCTAACATCACTTATTTATGCTAACCTTTATTCGACTACATTAATATTGCTTTTTATGCTAACCTCATTGTGTTTGCTAATGTGACTTTTTAAATGCTTAAGACAGAAAAATCTGTTTTATTTAACCCGGAACAGTGACTGTGTCTTTGTCGTCAAAGCCACCAGACTCCATTGCTAAAAATAGTAATTTTACTTCTCTGGTCTACCTGCCTCGGTAGGTCAGTGTGTGACTTTTGTGTTTTTAACCCTTTAAAACAAAACAACAAAGTCACACAATAACACAAAACTTTTGTGCAGCCATTTTGGAAAAAGATTTTCCTGCAAGAGAAAAAACAAACTCTTTTCTTGTTTAGAGAACAAAGAAGCTTAAAAAAACATTCGGCCTAATTTCCAAACTGGCTTTGAATCAAAGGAAATGTTAAAACTCTTCCAAGTAAGAGCTTGAATACTTACAAATCATCCTGCCCAAAATAGAAAATCTTAGCTGACATTTAAAACTGGCTCCAGACTCTCGGAGGAACTTATTCATGTTCATGTCAGAGATCATTAACGCTGTCGTAGATTGTTTTAGGATTTCTGGATCAGAGTTCTCTGAGAGAAGTTCAGACCAGATGACATTTATCCGGAGGGAAAATGAGACAATTACAGTGTCGAACCCTTTTATTGTTACGGCTAAATCTGAACGGCTGCGGTCGATGGAGATCTAACAGCTGGAGTCGAAGGTCCAGATGTGCAGAAACAGTTGGTCTCACAATATAATCTGGTCAGTCCGGAGCAGAGCAGCAGCAAATCAATCGTCCTCATCAATCATTGTGGGAAACTTCTGCGGCTGATCTTAATTCAGAGTTTAAACATTTAAATTGCTGCTCGGCTAAACAAAAGACACATGCCTTTGGTGTGGGAGACCCGGGTTCGATTCCCACTGCGACACATCCACCAACGTGTCCCTGAGCAAGACACTTAACCCCTCGTTCCTCCAGCGGCATGCCACCGCTTTGGATAAGGGATCAGGTGCCAGGGGCCCCAGTGTAATGCATAATGAAAAAGTAAAAGGAGTTCCACACAGTGAAAAACCTCAAAGGACGAGTCCAGACCTGAATCCCATAGAGGATCTGTGGAGGAAACTGAAGACCCGAGTGATGGCAAGGAAATTTGGAAATGGCATTTTTTAGTACAGCAATAAAATAAAATACAACAGAAAGTAACTTTAAACCAAATTTTTGGCATAAGTGTGAATACATTTGGGCTTAAATGTATAAAATCAAATAATGAAAATAAAAATTTTAAATGCTGTTTCAATGGTGAAAAACTGTAGTGCTCACATGTGACCACAAGGTGGCAGCATCCAAACACTGCATGACCAACAACCAGCTCCTTCTTCTGAGCCAGCTGTGATCTCATAGCAACACACCTGGAAGAAAAGTTCATTTTCTTCCCTAATATAATTCAAAAAGTGAAACTTTCATATTCTACATTCATAACACATGAAATGAAATATTTAAAGCCTTTATTTTTTGTTTTAATCTGGATGATTACAGTTTACAGCTCATGGAAATCAAAACTCCAGTATCTTAAAATGTTATTAGAATTTTAGAATAAAGAATTTATAAAACGGAAACGTCGACCTGAGAAGAACTCTGATCAGCTGACTAAAACACCTGCAAAGGTTTCCTGAGCCTTTAATCTGTCAGTCTGGTTCTGCTGCTGGAGATGCTCCTGTAATCTGTAATCTCTTTTATTTGTGGTGATCAGGCTTTAACATTTTGAATAGACTTGGATTGTGGACTAAAGGTTAAAGCACCTGTGTGGAGAAGAGGACTCTGTCACCTGTATGTTAAATGTCCAGGCGAACTCCTGCAGAGCTTCTTCTTGTTTAGCATCTTTCTGATTGAACCGTATCAAAGGGTTCATCACAGCAAAGATAACAACAGTTGAAGGTTTACTCTTGTTTTTATCTGCCTGCTGCATGTGTCAGGTGTTATTTTCACCAGCAGGGGGCGTCAAAAACACCTTTATTTTATCTATCTTTATTTTATTTTATCTGTCTATCAAGTGCGCGTGATGTTTTTTAATTTGACACACAATTTCATACGTCGAACACAAAAACGG